GTTGCATCCCTGGTGATGATCTCAGAAAGAGATGGAAACTACTTTGGAAATGAAAGTGATTCTCACTGTGAGTGCATTTCTTGCCTTATTTAATTGTAATGTACAAAAAAAAAAAAAAAAAAAATAATTATGAATATGAAAGGATTATGACAAAAATAAGCAGACAATGTTTGTAATTTATTCAATCAGACATGCCTAAAAGACAATTTGGTGCCTAAATACACAAATATATATATATATAAAACAAATTTTTAGAGTAGGTAGGCTTTCCTACTGCTCGGTCAACACTCCTCCCCCTTCTCTTGGACATGAGTAGAGGCTTACACCTTGTTTCTTGTTTAGGAAGGGGTTTCCAGTACTCTCTCTCACTGGCCTCATTATCTCCAGTTGCCTTGATCTATCCACTATTCTCCTCATCCTTTCTTCTATCACTCCTATCTGATCTTGCTCCAAATTTTCTGTAACCCCTTGCGTCCTAGTGGCTTTCTGCCTTGCTTGGGGTGAAACGCTTAAAGAAAAAAAAAAAAAAGAAGATATATGAGAAATTGGAAACAAGTTTTTGTGACAGGTTTCATCTGTTGGGTCTTCATCGAACTGGGTTTGTTGATGCTGTTATGGCTACACGCGCATGAACAAGAGATGCTGGTAATTTCAAAATTTTTGAAAGATTTTTTTCTTCAATCTCACCAAATTCATCTATATTCTTTTTCTTCCCATCATCTTTATTATTATATATCTCACATTGTGCCAAGAATGGTGAAATGTAAGAACCTGGATGTAAATTTACTGTCGCTGAATTAGCGATTAAAGCACTTTCTAGACATTTTCCTCTTACTGAATTATTTTCTCTTAATTAGAGGAACATTTTTTATCTCAAAATTGTGGTCAGTTTCATTATGGTGAACAACCAATGCATTTTGTGTGTTAGTTTTTAAAATGTCTCCTGTGTTCATATAGTCTTTTATTTAAACATCTTGAGGTTTCTTCAATATATTCTTTCTGGTAATCCTTGTAGTTGATAGAGTAAATTGCTCCTTCAAGTTTTGGCTTGTTTTGTAGGGATTAAGTCTTATTGTTTTAGATGTAGTTGTGACATATAGATTGAGATTATATATATATATAAAGAGAGAGAGATTTTAATATATTTTCTGTTTATACATACAATCATTTAAGTAAATGCTGTTTATAATAAACAGTATTAATTACATTTACTGGAATGAATATCTGAAAAATTTCATAGAAAATATGTCCTCTGGCAAGAATAGAACCTGTATCCTACATGGAACTGTAATTTGGCCTGACATGCTATATACCATTTAGCTACAGAGGAAATGTATGGTTGGCAAAGTCAAATTACTATTTTTAAACATAAAATTTCTTATGAATTTTCTTGAACAATCATATCTGTCAAAGCATATTTTAATGTGAACAGATGACAACATATATAAAAAAAAAAAAAAAAAAAAAAAAAAACTGTATTTAAAAAAAAAAAATAAATATATATATATATATATATATATATATATATATATATAGCAAGAGAAAGGATGATAGAAATATATAGAAATAGTAAGTGGTAATGAACGGAAAAAGTACTAATTCTACAACTATGTCTCTTCTCTTCTACTCTCAATCTGGATAGATTCATTGATTTCACTTGTCTGTGAAACTTTTGGTGCCAAGTAGTCTTAGAAGCCTCCATTACCCGTTTTCCGTGGTCAATATTTAAGGAAATAGGCTCCTTTTTAGGTAGTAGGCTTGTTGTGTTCCTTTTTTTCTTTGGCCTAGAATCAAGTTGATGCTCACACTTTCTTTAGCAGAGATATTAAGGGAGACAATTAGATTTTGATCTTATTCCAAAATTAACTATTGTTCAGTTTTTTGGGAAGAAGTGACAAATGAAAAATAAATTCAGCGGATCCAGAAAAAGTTTGAGAACAATTGCTATATGCTTTTATTTTGGTAAATCTTTGATATGAACGAGTCATGTTCAGTGAAATTGTTTTTTTAATTCTTTACTATAGCATGGATAAGTAGAAATATGTCAGAAATAACAATTGTGTAAGAAAAAGGTTAGGTAAATCGTCTCAAATAGCTAACCTGTTGATCAACCACTGTCATAAACAATTGTTCATAACCTTAAAATCTAAAATAATAAAGCAGAATTCTTCTATGGGCCATGTCCCTTCAAGATGTTGGCGATCATGGCTCTCTACAATTTCCTGTCCTTTGTAGCTCTTAATAACTTATCATCTCTCCTAAACTCTGTTCTGCCAGCCATTTACACAAGCTTGTTGGGTAGGATCTCTATTGTTTTCCTGTTCTTCTTGTTTTCAATATGTCCTGTGAGTATCAAAATAGCCAAGCTCTTTCCTCATGTGCCATAAAAATTTCAATTATCTCTTTCTGATAAGTATATGAGAAATCATATAGATATATATATATATATATATATATATATATAATATTAGTGTGTTTAAGCTTTTTTTTATATATATATATATATATATATATATATATATATATACACACACAACCTGTAGAACAACAATTCCGCCTAGAAAAACATGATTTTAAAACCCATGCCAAATTCACTATAAATGAGAGAATAGCAAAGTTCAGAGCAGATAACATTAGAAAGATTTTTAGAGTTCCATGAAAATAAGTGGATACAATGTTTAAAAAACGCACTATCCAGCTGAGCTTAACCATAAATTTAACAATATAGATAGTATTAATATATAAGCCTACAAATCAAAACCTACCCACAATTCTCACCCACACAAGACAGACATGCTTACAGAAGTGTTGAAGCCTCACACTTATACACACACCCACACGAATATACACACATCATATTTACTCACCTCCTAAGAACCAAATAACATACACACTTAACAGAGACATTTTATTGGTTCCTCTCCAGGAACCAATAAAACTGTCAAAATGACCAAGGGAATTCAGAGCAGAATGAATCCATCCAGCTCTTATTTTAAATAACAACTTAAAAGAGACTGTTTGACCAACACAAGGACTGACCAAAATTCATGTTAAAAAAACAAAACAAAAAAAAACAAACAAAAACTACAAACAAAAGTTCATTTTCTTTATCAAGACATTCATTTCTGTAGTTCATTGATACCAGCAAGCAGAAAATTATTTTTATTGTGACGATGGCCATGTTGGCTGAAACTAGTCAAGGAATCTAAATGAAATAATAAAAACGAAGGAATATTAATATACAACCTAGTGTGTCTGAAGTTTTTAATTTTTTATTGTTCTATATATATATATATATATATATAAAGAATAAAACAAATTGTTATACCAGCTATCTTTATGGAATAAAGAAAAGCAATGGTTGATACCAAGAACTATAAAGAGATTCCAGAACTCTCAAGGGAAGAAACAGTTGGGGGGGGGGCAACCCTTAGTGAAAAAGTGGCATAAAAAAAGTTAACACTAAATGGATTGTGAGATGACTGTTAAAGTTTTCTTTTCAAATGCTTTACTTCATTTTTATTAGTAATTCTCTTTTATTGATTAATATTTTATATTTACCAATAATCCTCTTTTATGAGGTTTGAATGAAAAGGTTGCCTTTTAAGAGGATTTCCACCAATTATTTTCTTTGAGACATGTCTCTGCTCATTCATGCTATTAAAAAGAAAAAAGTTGTTGCTGAACAGGAAGCATTTATCTCAAAGATTAAAAAAAAAAAAAATTACAAGACAGTCGACCAACCTCTGTTATACCAGGTAACTTTAGAAAATAAAGAAGCTTACAGCCAGATCACATCGAAACATGAAAGTTAAGCAACATCAAGGGGTTACTGAGAGTGAAAAAGCATGAGAAGACTTTAGAGAGAAGAAAAGACAAAAAACAAGATTCAGGAAGATAGAAGATGGCAACTGGCATTGCCTCTGCATTTTAGAAGATTCTAAGTGGCAGAGAAGCAAGGAGTTGAAGGTGATTTCCACAAGTGAGAAGTGCAAAAAAAGAACCTATTAGAATAGAACATACGGTTGCATCTAGCTAGTTGAATAGTAAAACAGTGAGACCTAATTGCCAATCTACACTAAAATTCATGCAGGCAAGTCACCAAGAAGGAAATCAGAACAATTGTAATGAAAATATTTATAGAAAAGACAGAGGGAAGCAACATCAGGTCAGTGAGAAAATGACTGAAGTAAAGATTCTAGGTCAGGATCAATGACATTACAGATGCTTCTTTTAATTTTGCTATGAATCTCAAGATATATACTGGGTAGAACAAAAATACCTCTTATGTAATGATTAACACATTAACTAAATGAAAACACTGTTGCCACTAATGTCTTTTACCATTATATAAGAGGTATTTCTGCTATACCTTGTAATAGGCGCATCAGACAAGACATGGCAGCAATATTCAATGCATGGACGAATGGTAGATTTATAAATGTGCAAGATGGATTCTGACAAGAAAAATTGTCTGGCACGACACAGTGAACCAACTTTCCTATCAATAGATGCATAGATAAATGTTAGATTTATAAATGTGTAAAATGGATTCTGACAAGAAAACTGTCAGACATGACATAGTGAACAAACTTTTCTAGCAGCATAACTAGCAATTGATTCAATATAATCTTTCCACTTAATTTCAGTGGAAAACATGAGCACAAGTAGGCAATTGGTAATTCTGTAATCCTCTTTGATAAGGGTTGATCAAAAAACTTTTAATTTACTTTTAACACTAAATTTTCTTTTTCTATTAAGATAATAATTTTGAACATACCAATAAGATATTTTTTCTTTGTAAATCTAATATCTGCCACGTTCTTATATCTAAACAAAATAACTTACCTGTTGCAACAAATAAAAAAACTAAAACATTCTCAGTTCATTTTTGATTTTTTTAAATTCATCTTTGCTACTACGACAAAAGAGTGAAAAAGTCACATTTAATAATAGAATTATCAGATCCTCTCAGACAAGACGCCAAGGCAAATATCAGAATGCAAAAACATCTTATTCTTGGCCATGGTACAAGAACCCTGGGCTATAAAGGTTGATATAGTATTTGCATACAAGAGAAATAAAATAGCTGTAGGTGTTTGTTTGCTTGATCAACAAGAATAGAAAAACAGAAACATCAACAATTTTCAGAAATAGAAGCAAATTCTTACAAAGGAACCATTTGCATACAAATACTGATTTTTTACAGAATAATCAGATTTTAGAAGTATGCATGAGAAGGTGCTGAAAAGTAATAATCTTAATCCACTTCCCAAAATCTCATCAAAAGACCAAATATGAAAACATTTAGACTTCTTGTTTGAACCAAAAACCTTTCAACAACTCCTTACAGATTTTATATATGATAAAAATATAGTTTTAAGATATGTTATATTTATAAGTAAAAGTGCTTAATATCAGAGATAGAGCATAAATAAATATAAATGTGGACACTGAGGTCAACACCAAGCAGTAACAGTCTGTTTCATGTTTGAATGCAATCTTCAGACCTGAAGATTGTGATGAAGTATGAAACTGCTGGTGAAGGTTTGAGTCTGCCAGATTATACGCTCTGTTCCATAAACAGTAACTATGGTCCACTCAGCAGAGTTGCAGCATAAACCACATGTGGATACTGTGGCTGTGAAACACAAATGTGCCTATGCAGGCATCTGCATCAGGGATTGGCTAGGTACTCTACTAGAGTGGTATAATTGGATATGAGCAGATTATATATATATATATATATATATATATGTCGCAGTGTGTCCAATCACCACTCCCACCTTTTCTGAAACAATTCCGGATATGCCTGCTGATAGAGAAAGGTCACAACCCTTGTGTGCTAAAAATAGCAACAACATCCTTTCAAACTGACAGAAACACACAAAACTCAATTTTCGCCACTAAACAAAAATAAAAGACCTTTAATTTTGAACCGAAATTAATTTAAATACAGTCAACAAACACACTTTTGACTGTAATTTATACGGCCCGAAATTAATTATATTCATTTACTTGTTTAGCGTCACCGCTTCTCTTGTATGAACCGTCATATCTAGATGCCCGAGACTTCACAGCGGTTTTTAGCCGGCCAGGGAGCAGGGAGCCTTCCTGAATCGCGACTTTGACGTGCCCAGTCAAGTCGGCCGAGCCCAGCAGCTGACAGGACCCAGCAGCAGCAGTTGTTCAAAGTCCTTTTCAGGGCTAACTTCTGAAAGTCATTCGATCACAACTCTTCGAGGCTCCACTCACTTCACTCTCTGCTACTGCTTGCCCTCCGAGACACCAGCACACTCCTGCAGCTTCCAGCACACTCCTGCAGCTTCCAGCACACCCCTGCAGTGCTTCACTTCACTTCCGGATACCGTTCCCGAACAAACGACCTCTGTCGTCTTTCTATCCACCATTCGCAAATAAAGACACGATTTCTATCGTCTACAACAGACCATCTGTGTTTGTCATCCTTCTTTGCTATTGCCATCTCCTTGCCTTTGTGTCCCCTTTTTAGTTGTATGGCCGATTGGCACTCACACCTCTCGGCCTGCTGCAACAATATATATATATATATATATATATATAAAAAACTGGCTGCTTATATCCGACAGCCAATACGACGACAGCCAATCAGAAGGCATTTTAGGCGACAGCCAATCAGAAGACGACGAGGCGACAGCCAATCAGAAGACGACGAGGCGACAGCCAATCAGAAGACGACGAGGCGACAGCCAATCAGAAGACGACGAGGCGACAGCCAATCAGAAGACGACGAGGCGACAGCCAATCAGAAGACGACGAGGCGACAGCCAATCAGAAGGATTATTACCAATTCTTATTCTGTGATTTTTTTAATATACTATCATTAATGGAAAAAAAAAAATATAACTGAACTGCTATATAATGTAAGTCCTTCAATATGGCAGTGAATTCTGGATAATTTCCTCACAGATGAAGGCAAAAGAAATGTGGATGTCAAGAAAGATGGACAGAAAGAAGTTTAAAGAAAAAAAATGATCTTTGAACAGACCCTCAGGTGTATGCAGGGGTCCTTAGGAAGGAACTGTATGAATAAAATAGCCTTCTAACTGATGGAATACAAAGGAAATGGAGAGAATTTGTCCCAGTGGACACTGCATAACAGTCCTTTAGCTGTGAATGTCAGGACTGGTTGAATGTAGCTTGTCACATTTTCTATAGAAATAGCAATAGAGTACCAAGAGGCCACAAGGTTGTGTAGACTCTTTTTTTTACCTCTACCAAAGCAGGAAAGTGAAGCCTGGGCAGCTACAACCCAGATATGACACCACTACTCCATTTTTCGTTTGGTTTGTTTTGTTTTACAGTACATGTTAAAAAAGAAAAAAAAGTACCGACACTAGACTGGCCATATATCGAGGATAAAAAGCAATCTTTGCCTGTTGACCTGACTTTTGGGGAAGTTGGCCCCAGGTTAATGCAACAGAAGTACTATGAATGACATGCAGGGAATATCCTAAAAGAAGCTAGTCTTGGATATGACGATAGACTACCTCTGGCAGCAAAGCCTCTGAGGGGAAGGTTTTGAAGAGCATGGAACCACCTCTTAACTGATGCTGTTCCCAGGTCCACCCTAACCCACCTGTTAGGATCCCAGCTATGGGAAAATAGTTAAATAATGGTGGATGTGTCAGCAGTACATTTTTTGTTTGTTTTGTGGCATATCAACCTCAATGGATTATTTAATGCCAACAAGATTTTTATTGCTGGTAATATTTTCTTTTTTTCCAAAATGTATTCAAAAATTTATTGCTGGTTTTTTTTTTTTTTACAAAAACGTATTACTGGTATTAAAACATATTTTTACATTTTCATATTGTTTTGACACCAATTTAGGGGTTAACTATTTGCCCATATCTGAGACCCTAACAGGTGCTATCACTCCAGGTCAGGGTGGACCTGGAAACAACAGCAACTAAGAGGTGGTTTCACGCTCCTGAAAGTCTCCTGATCAGAGGCCTTGCTGTTGCATGTAGTTTGTAGTCATACCCAGGACGTCCATTTTTGGTTTGATGTGGTTCTTGTAAAGATACCAGATACAACATCTATTTAAGAAAAGCTGAATCATCTGACATGAAATATTGTCTGAAAAACTATTTCAAAACTTCAGACAGTAGGTTTTTAATCATTGTGTTTCCCATAATGCTCAATTTTGAATTCAACTAAAAAAAAATTATATATATATATATATATATATATATATATAAATATATATAAATAAAATCAAATGGACAAAGTCTGACAATTATGTTTTAAGACATTTTTTATGTTTATACATTCTTTTTATAGATACAAATATTTAAGTAAATGCTCTGTTTATAATAAACAGCATTAACAACATTTACCGGCCTGAATGTCCGAGAAATTTTCATAGAAAACATGCGTCCTCCGACAGGAATCAAACCTGTATCCTATACGGAATCGTCACATAGCCTGATATGCCTTAACCGACTGGGCCACAAAGGAGTGTTTGGTTAGCAAGGTTGATTTTACTGTTTTTAAACAATTCTCCATGATTTTCTCTTTCATATCTGCTCAATGTCTTAAAAAATAATTGTCAGACTTTGTCCATTTCATAATGTATGATGTCATTTGTTTACATTTGGATATGCATTGAGCAGACATTCAGGCCAGGAAATGTTAATGTTTATTATAAACAGAGCATTTACTTAAATATTTGTATCTATAAAAAGAATGTATGAACATAAAAAATGTCATTATTTTAAGATCAAAATATTAAACAAAATTTTAGGTTATATATATATATATATATATATATATAAAACCTAAAATTTTGTTTAATATTTTGGTCTTAAAATTTAAAATACACAAGAAAAGAATTTTCAGAAGATTCATTTCTATATCAAATATAAGAAAATATAAAATATAGAAAATATAATAAGGGACACTTAAAGAGTAGCCTGCAAACAGTGATTTGGCTCTATTAAGATATATGGCACACGATATGAACATAGGATGTTATTAACAAGGAGGAATTCAAGAGAAAGAGGAAAAGAGAAGGTTTTTCTAGGAATGAGATTGCATGAGGACAAAGAATGTAAGAGGTGCCATAAGGTATATCTTTATATACACTGTTTTTTGTGTCAAATGTATCAATACCATGTTGTAAAAAATTAGTACAAGCATATGACTTGCAAAACAACTGAAGAAGTTGGCAAGCCCACAATATTCTGGGACTATAATTTTAAGACAGACAGGGTCATACACCCTCACCATTCAGACATTATTGTGCAAGGTTAAAGGCACCAAGAACTGTCATATTACTGATGTTGCCATTCCAAATGACACAAATATAGCAAACAAGGTGATTGAGACAATTACAAACTACTGATTTGAAAGTTGAGATGGCAAGATTATTTCCAATTCTAGGAGGCAATGCCATGGGGATTCCAGTGGTGACTAGTGCACTGGGATCAATCTCATTAAATTTGTGTGACTGACCAGTTGGGGATACAATACCAACTTGGAGTCATCCAAAAATTGGCTTTTTCAGCATTGTGTATACTTTAAGGAAAATGTTGTCTGCCTCAGGTCCTTGTTGTGGTCTGATAATAATATATACAGAAACTTAAACTGACAAAGTAGTAGTAGTAGTAATAATTGAAAAATGAAAAGACTTGTATATGTGTACATATATGTATATGTTAGTATGTGCTGTATAGACTCAGTAGAGTGCAAGTTTCTATGATCAGTGTTTTTTTTTTTTATGTATGTGTAAAAAAAAAAAAAAAAAATGATTACACTATACATAGGTAATTTTTTAAATTTTTTTTGAAGAGGTTAAAATCATGCATTTTTAGTGACCAGTTGCAGTGTTCACAGGTGATTTTTTCTGGGGGGCTTAAAATTGATGGAAAAAGATAAATTCAGAGGTTGCACTATAAATGGAGTTCGCTTATACACAAATATATATGGTATAGCGATATTTTCAAGAAAGCTATTTTATCCCAGTTCTAAATTTAAATGTCGTGACATTTCTAATGAAACCCTGGCATGGTAAAATTTTCAAATTTGAAAGTTAAAATTGACTTTTTTTTCCAAAGCATATAAGATCTGATGATAATCACTGATTCATCTGTCAGATAAGTCACTTGAAATTTTCTTTTACTGAATATCAAATACGATATAAAGTTTCATGAAGATGCATCAATGTCTGTAGTCTAATGAGTAAAAAGAATAAACTGCTCAAAATTAAACCAACTATAGAAGAATGGCATCAGAAATGCCAAACTAGAAGAGAAGTGATTATGTTCAGGCTTTATATTGTACATACCATCATAACCCATTTGTATATCATAAAAAAGAAAGGTTGTCCAATATGTGTGGTATGCCAAGAGCCATTCACCATAAAACACATACTAATAAACTGCAGCAATTTTAATTCAATCTGCTTAAAATATTACCAAACAACAAACTTAAAAACTTTTTCAAAATACTGATCCACTTTATATATTCCAGTTTCTAAGAGAAATTAAACCGATCTCAAAATATAATTTAAAAAATATATAACCATAACTAACAGCGGCTTTAATATTTAAAACTAATTTTTGACTTTAAATACAAGGCTTTATTTAGGCAAAACAAATTCCGGCATTAAATGACCCAATGGGTTGATAGACCGTAAAACAAAATCTAATGAGGAAAAAAAAAAAAAAAAAAGTATTTATATTTATTTATTTTTTTAACACAAATATTGTTCAAATTGTCCAAACACATTCCTGCTTTGTCAATGTACATCAAATTTATTCAGTGAAAATTCCAGGATAAAATTAGACTAAATTAAAATTAGGTGTTAAGTTGCAGAATTCTTAAATCACTCTTGAAGAAAATACAAATTGAAGGAACAGATTTATTAATTTCTGGATACTTTTATCTTATTACTTTTTATAGCACATTCAAAGCCATGAGGACATGATCTGAAATGTATAACAAAAAGCAAGAATATAAAAAAAATTAGCCCTTAATAAATAATGAAAATTCCTCATCTCAGAATTCAAAACAACTTCAGATTCTCATCCAAGCTTTAGAATAAATGAATGAAACCCCCCAAAAAACAAAAAAAAAAAAAAAAAAAAAACCCACCATATTCTATTCTTGTTTAGATTTGTAAGGAAAGCAATAAAGAAAAAGCAAAGTCAGGTATTTATTTGGCAGAGAGACAGTAACATCATTTTGGAAATTCTTTTTTAGCCAAAACACCAACTCTCAAGTAACTAGAGATGGAAGCAGGAACAACTTCTTTGAGAATTCTAGAAATTTTTTTTACAGACATTCGCCATTAGCTATCAACAAACTTGACAAGTATCCTCAAGTGACAAGTCTTTTATACTTATCTCTTCTTATATTGACTCATACATGGTGATAACCAACTTTCTTCTATCAATATCTTTGAATAAAAATTTTAATGTATTGCTAGGTTATGGTTTTCAATTAATTTATTTTTTTCAGAAAATGAATTCCAATTCTAGAAATGCAACACAAAGCAAATAAAAAAAAGTTCCAGAGATAAAAGTTGTATGAATAGTAAGTGCCAAGAGGGTGAGGAGGATCAATTTGTATGAATATGAATATTGTGCTGGGAGATCAAATTGTTAAAAAAAAAAAAAAAAAAAAAAAAAAAAAAAAGGATCAGTTATAAAAATAAAACAGTGAGAAGGGATCAGTTATAAAAATAAAACAGTGAGAAGGGATCAAATTATACTCATAAGGCCGTGAGAAGGGATCAAATTATACTCATAAGGCAGTGAGAAGGGATCAAATTATACTCATAAAAGAAAGTCAAAGAA